AAAAAAAAAAAAAGTACAACCAGACTGACCTAGTACCTGGGGGTTAGGGCTGAGAGTGAAGAGGCCAACTGGTCTAAAGTGCAGGGAGGTGTGCATGAACTCCCAAACTTGAAGCTGGTACCCATTTGACCTAGCTTTGATGACCAAGACTGAGTTGACCAGAACCCAACCAGATGAAAATAAAGGTATTTGGTACTGTGAGTAAGTGTCAGTTGCTACAATGTGATGAGCTGGACTTTTGTTTATAGATGCAGTTGCTCAAAATTCCAACCGGAATGGAAGATTCTTCAGATCATGGAACATACTTGTCTCCTCAGTGTACTGGACTTATAGTGATGGACAATTTAGACATTGGCTATAAAAAAATGGGGGCTATAAAGTCATGAAGTAGTTGGCTTACAACTTTTCATGGGTGTGTTTAGTTTCAGAATGAAGGTGGTATGGTATAATCCCCACTGAATAGTTTTCCTACCTAGAAAACAGGTGACAGTAGAGACATTGGCAGAGGTAGTGGCAAGGAGAAAAGACTGAAGTCAAAGACTTTCATTTTCATTGGAGCCAAAATCAACACTCATGGCAGCAATCAAGAAACCATGACATATTTAATTAGGCAATTCTGCTGCACAAGACTTCTTTAAAGTGTTTAAGAGCAAAAATGTTGGTTTTAAAATAAAGTGTGTGACCCAAGCTCTAGTATTTTCAATTGCTTCATCAGCATGTGAAATTTGGACAATGATCAAGGAAGACTGTAGAAGAATAGATGAATTTGAGTTATGTTGTTGGGGAAGAATATTAAAAGTACCATAGATTGCCAGAAGTACAAACAAATCAGTGTTAGAAGACGTACAGCCAGAAGTACCTCTTTTGAAGCAAGGATGGTGAGACTTCGTCTCTCATATTTCAGGCATATAATCAGGAGGCACCAGTTCTGGGAGAAGGATATAATGATTGTAAAAGTGGAGGGTCAGCGGACAAAAGTGGAGGGTAAGGAAGACCCCCCAACAAGATGTATTGGCACAGTGGCAATAGCAATGAGCTCAAGGGTAACAACAATTGTGAGAATGGCACAAGGCTGGGTTGTGTTTCGTTATTTTGTACGTAGGTTCGAAGGCACTTAACAACAACATCTGACTCATGAGTTGACATATCACGGTGGAATGAGCAAATTAACTGGCAGAATACTTACAGTTTAGTAAGATTGTGCAGCCCTCTGAAAGCATGCATATGTACAGATCTAATTTTATTGTTTTGCAGATACCTGTGAAAATGATTATTAAAAAAGTAAGCATATTGAAATACATTACTGAAGCTGGATATTCACATCATTTGTTTGGATTTAAAATGCACTTGGCTGATTATTTAGAAGCTCTAGTTATAGGCCAATGTATAGCTAAAAATTAATATTTGAGTTTTTGAGGAATAAAACCTTAAAGCATAGTAAAGCACTTATTAATTGGATAGTTGTAGAAGTCATATTTCTTAATATCTCTTTACTTTAAATTTTCAAACGTATTAGTACCCAATACAGTGCTACCAAAACTACAAGAATGTGATAGCTTTAATGCCCCAAATCATGTTGTTCTTAAGTACTATTAAGTCAGTTCTGACTCACAGAGACCCTGTATAGGGTTTTGGAAGAGCAGCTGGTGGGTTGGAAGTGTCAACCTTGTGATTCGAAGTCCAGTGCTGATTCTATAGT